AAATTTATTGATTTATAAAATAAAAGAAAAAAAAAGTAATATTATTCAAATATAATAAAAAAACAAAAAAAATTAAAGTTTTATAGTTATTTCTGATCTTCTTTGGAAGTATCTTCTTCAGATATATATTCTTCGGAGGTATATTCTTCTTTTTCTGAATCATCTTGATCTTTATCAGATGTCTTTTCATTATCCTCTGGTTCTTGCTCATCAGAACTTACCTTAGTTACTTCTGGGACATCTTGATTTCTTTCGAAAGTTTTGCGGTGTTTAAACATATTAACTGTATAGTTTTCATAGATCAGCCTTTTTGGAGAAGTTGGTATAAGGGATCATCAGGGAGAGTTTATTCTGGCTGCTACTTTATTAGAATTTATAATATTATATATTTAAATATTAAAATTTTATACAAAAAGTTATTTTCTTTGCTATCTAAAATTACAAGTATTGGCTTATCCAGTTATTCAAAAAACATCTATATATGACCTGCTATAGTAAGATTTTGTCTTTATAACAACCTGCCTTGCAATTAAACATAATATTATTTTATTAAATAGATCTTATAGCCTATCAAGACTACTAATTATTTTTTTACCAACTTGATTGTTATTTACTTTCAATCCAACTTAATATTACTTTTTTTCTAATATTTATAATAGAATTTAATGCTTGGTACAATTAAACAAAAATTTAACAGTCAAATACTTGTTAATACTTGTGATTAAGTTGAATATCAAATGATTGCAGATTAACCAATAGTATATATTTAGCTTTGGTTAATCTGCAATTGTTTAATATCCAATTTAAATATAAGTATTAATAGATATTTGACTATCAAATTTTTGTTTAATTATACCAAGCACTAATAAAATTCCATCTTTCATTTTTTTTCTTTTTATATAACTTTCTAGATAGTATCTTTACTACAACTTTACTTTGTTTTTGCTTCTTCTTTTTATCTTTTTTTAAGTTGTTAGTTCTTTTTGCTTTCTATGTTATACCAATCTCTTCTTCCTATTCCTAGACAAGTTTATATTTTATGATCCAGATTTCATTATAAATTCTTTATATTTAGTTTTTTCAGAGCTTAACTATGAAGTCTTCCATTTTCTTGTTGGAGATAAATAGAGGTTTTAGCTTATCAAAGTTTTCTTTTATAATAAAATCTCTAATTTATCTTTTTCTTCTTTGTCATTTTTCTATTGAGCTTTCTTTTCCTAGCATGGCTAGTATTTACTCATTCTTTTCTTGTATATTTTCTACTTCTTTAGTTTTTTTTAAGAATTTTTCCACTTCTTGCTCTTCTATCTTCTTTAATAAGTTTATTAAAACCTTACAGCTTACCAAATGTTTTACATTTTCTGTCTCTTTTTTCATATAATACAAGTATCTAATTTATATAGATCTGGTTTTCTTTGGTTTAGTTTCTCAAATACTGGTCATAAATTATTAATATACTTTAATTTGAAAATTTGAATAGTATTTGTCTTAAATATATAGTCTTGCTGTTTAGTTTCACTTGCTAGAATTTTGTAAAAAATTAGCTAATATTGTAGTACTTTTCTTTCTTGATAGGTTTTATCTTGCTAATTATGTAAATATATCTACTCTACTCTGTTTAGCACCTTTTTACTATTTTAACAAAGGAGTGTATAGGCTTTTTGACTAGTTTATTCTCCTACTAGTATCTTAGCTTGAATTTTTTTGTATATACAGCTGTGGAGATGAAGAGCTCATTGGAATTTATATCTTTTTTGGCTTTAAGACTGCCAAGTCATTATAAAAATCTCCAAAATAGCTTTTGATTTTAACAAGCTGTATATTAAGTTACTTTGTTTTTACTGTTTCTACAATCATAATAATCAGACCGTTATTCTTAATCTTTAGCTATTTTCTTGCTTTATTAGTTTTTTTTTCAGTTCTTTTTAATTGCCTATATTGCTGCATTACTATTAGTTTTTATTTTTACTACTTTTTTTTGTAGTATAATTAACAAAACAACTAGAACTACTATCAACTTCACTCTAGTTGAAGAGAATCAATTTTTGATTGCTATTGCTAGCTGTTAGATTATTTAATCTTCTGTCATAACTTATATAACTTTGCAACTCATATTCTTCTTATCTATGTTTTTTAATATTCCAAGTAAGCTATTTATATAGAAAACTAAGTTATTTAATTCTCTATTTTGTTTTAAAATATTTATAAATCTACTTTTAATGCTAGAATTTCAAACTACTTTATTTACTAAACAGACCTCTTAACTAATATTTATCTACTACAACTATTTCTTTTTGCTTAATACTACTTAATTCTTTTGCTATTGTTATCTCTTTTCTTTTTTTTATTTTATTTGACAATACTTTTTCTAAATATTGTTTATTAAAAATTAATTATATATCTATTTCTGTTTTTTGCACAATATTTGATATATCTTTAAGTTCTTTGTGTTTTGCTATTGATAACAGCTAATATTTATCTTACTTAAGAATATTCTTGTTTATGTTTAGCTACAAATTCTCTTTTTTTATATAATTTTTTACTTCTGTATACTTATTTTTCTTTTCTTTAATTTTGCCAACTTTAATCTTTATATTAACTTTATAAAACCATGTTACTTACTCTTTTGCTCTTTTATTCTCTTCAACCTTTTCTAACACTAGCTTGGATATATTTAGATTTTCTAACTTAGTTCTGTATTCTGGTTTGACTTCTCTTGTTAACATGTTTGCAATCATCTTTTTTTCAACTTTGCTAAACTACTTTGCTTTTTTTCTTTTGGGCTTTAGCTTGTGTACCCACTTTATTTATTGCTATATATAAAGAGTATTATTTTTTTTTGTTAGAAGTTGCAATAAGAAGTAGAGCTTGAGGTTGTTTGTATTTGATTTTTGTATACAGTTTGCTATTTTCAAAAATTGTTGCAATCTTCATATCATTACAAGTTTGTATTAGCTTGATGTTTTAGCTCTTTGTAAAGTTATTTTCTTTTATCAAAAACTCCAAGTGCTTTGCTTGTTGCAGTATTTGTATACTCAGGTTTTTTATCTTGTGCTCTTTTTTTTTTAATAGTACTAAAATATATTTGGTTAAACCTGCTTTAAACTGTTCTTGTTTAAGCCTTAGCACAGTTGTTTTTCTATAAACCTAATTAAATTAAGTCTAACTATAAGTTTGTAAAGTGATATTTAATATATCTATTTTAAAGACTTGTAAACTTAATTATTTCTGAGTATTTTGAAATAATATTTGCTGCTGTAGAGAGCAATAACAGCTTCCACTTTACCAAGTACAATATTAGTTGATATATTCTATTATATTAATTTTTATTTAGATATAAAAACATAAGTCTGTACTCTAGTATAGATATAAGTACTACATTGTTTATATATATTATTTGGCTAACAGATATTTTTTTGTATTTAAGCAGCCTGATAATTTTGTTTACTTTTTTTTTTTTGCTTTGTTCATATCTAATTTTTGTTAGCTTCTTAATGAAATCCAGACTTCTAAAAACTATGAGATTCTTTGTAACTTTTTGCTAAAATTTTTGTTTTCAGATTTTTTGTCTAGACATAATACTTATTAATATTTTTTTTTTCTAGACTTAAATACAACAAGTTTATTTTACTCAGATTTATTTCAATATTATTTAGCTTATAAAATTTATTTAATATATCTATAGACTTTTGTATATTTTTCTAACTATCTGTTATCCAAGTAATATTATCTATATATATCAAGACCTCTATATATAATTTTTTAGTTTCTATTTTTATATAGTTTATTTGTATCTCATAATTTAGTTTGGCATTTTAAACTCTGCATAATAATAGGTTATAAAAAATCTTTAGATTAAGGGTAAAAAAACTTCTCTCTAGTCAATACTATCTTTAGCTTAAATAAAGTTTGTATTACTATACTCTGTAATGATACTTAGCTTTCTGTTTTCATAGAGATGCAAAATAAATTTTACAGTTTTGTTAAGAATTTTAGCCTTTCTAATATTTTTTTTAGGCAATTATACTTACAAAATCAAATATTTCTTTATATCTTAATATAATATTTATAATTCTTGTCTTTTTTCAATTGCTTCTTTAATAATATTGTTTATAATATAGATAAGTGCTACTATACTTTCATCTAAAAGACCTGCAAAGTTTGCTCTTTTTAAAATATTGTTTTCTTTTAATTTTTATTTAATCTTGTCTATATTACTTTTGTCAAATTTTTTTTATATATTTTGAGTAGTGCTATCAGTCTAGTAGTACCTAGGTTGTATTTTCAAAATTTGTCTTTTGAAATTAGATAAAGTTGGCCTAGTTTTTATTTTTATAAGACTTTGCTATACTCTATAACTATATTCAGAAATGCTATTAGTTTTTTAGTTGTTCTTACTAATAATTTCTTGAACAATATATATCTGATTTCTGAAAGGCCTGAAGCTATTTTATTTTGTATCTTCTATAAAGCCAGTAACCAGTCCTTTTTGTTAATTGAACTTATTATGTTATTATATAGACTCAGACTTATTTCTTCTTTTGGTTTATATTCTTTCTGCTAGTTCATATCTATTTTTTCAAACTTTTATAGTCTTTTTTTAAATTGTTTTTAAAAATATTTAGCTACTTTTTGCTTAACTTTTAATTCATTATTAATAAGCTCTTAATTTTGATAACATGCACTTTTTTCTAAGAGTATTCTGTCTATTGTTACTTTATTGTATAGTCTGTTTAAAAAACTTTGTAGTATTTTTTACTTATCTCTTTGTATTATGCCAAATCTTTGTTCAATCTTGGCTCTAATTTCTTTTTCTTTAATTTTGTGTTCTTTTTTTTTTGCTTTTTTTCTTAATACTTTTCTCCAATTTATTAGATCATTGACTTTAATCTGATTTCAATATTCTGGCAAGAATACAATCTGTGTTTAATATATTTGATTAATTTTTACAATTTGAGTATTGAAGCTTGCTTAGTTGCTAGTACTTATTTTTTCCTCACTATATTTGTTTTTTATTTTTTAAAGCTGATATAAAAACTTTATTTTTTTTGTATACATATATTTCGGGATTGTTTTTTTATATTAAAGTTCTGTTTTTTTAATATTAATCCAAGAAATATATTTTGCTGCTACCTGTATGATTGCCTAGCTTATATTATTTTATTTTTCATTTATATCTGCTTTAGTGAGTTAAGAATTTTTTATATTTTTCTTGGTTCTTAAAAACAACTGTTTTACAGCTTTACTAT